TGGGTAATGGGGGGTAGAGCCCACCCAAATGGTTGGGTGCCCTCCATGGGGTGATGGAAGGGGGTTAAAGCCCACCCAGACCCCTAGATCCACCACCCACAATGGGTCATGGAGGGGTAGAGCCCACCCAGATGGTTGGGTGCCCTCCCTGGGGTAGTGGAAGGGGGTTAGAGCCCACCCAGACCCCCAGGTCCACCGCCTAGAGCCCACCCAGACCCCTCGGTCCACCACCCAGTATGGGCGATGGGGGGGTAGAGCCCACCCAGACCCCTCGGTCCACCATCCAGTATGGGTAATTGGGGGGGGTAGAGCCCACCCAGACCCTGGGTCCACCACCCACAGTGGGTCATGGAGCGTTAGAGCCCACCCAGATGGTTGGGTGCCCTCCCTGGGGCGGTGGCAGGGGGTTAGAGCCCACCCAGACCCCTAGATCCATGGCTGGGACCCAGGAGGAGGAGGAGGAGGAAGAAGAGGAGGAGGAGGAAGAGGGGGAGGAAGAGGAAGACGAGGAGGGGGCCAAAGGCAGTGACGGTGGTGGAGGAGAAAGAAAAAGAGAAAGAGGATGACAGCAAGGAATAGCAGGAAAATGAAGAGGGAAACGATGAAGATGAGGAGGAGAAGAAAAAAGAGGAGGAAGATGAGGAGGAAGAGGAGGACTAAAGTAATGACAAAGAAGAGAAATGGGTGGATGAAGAAGAATGGAGGAACGATGATGATGAGAAGAAGGAGGAAAATGATGATGAGGATGATGAGGAAGCTGGGAAGAAGGAACTGGCTGGTGAACAGAATGAGGAGGAGGAGGATGAGGAGATGAAGAAAAAGGATGATGAGGATGATAGTGATGAAGAAGAGATTGAGGAAAAAGGTGAGGAGGAGGAGCTTGAGGAGGAAGAACAGAAAAAGAAAGAGAAAGGTGGAGAAGGATGTGAGGGGAGCGATGAAGATGATGGTGATGACGATAAGGAGATGAAGAACAGAAACAAGAGGATGAAAAGGATGATGAGGATGATGATGATGAGAAGAAGGATGATGAAGACGAGGTTGGGGAAGAGAAAGAAAAAGGAGATTGAGATGGAGCAGGATGACGATGAAGAGGATGATGATGGTGGTGAAGAGGATGATGATGGTGATGATGAGGATGACGGTGAGAATGAGGATGATGAAGACAATAAGGATGAGGAAGATTTGGGGGGGACCCATCTGCAGTGAAGGCTCCCTCCTGGGCTGGAACTGAGGCAGGAGGAGGAGAAGGAGGAAGATGATGATGAGGAGGAAGACGAGGAGGAGGAGGAGGTTGACAAAAAGGATGAGGAAGAAAAAGATGAGGATGATGATGAGGAAGATTATGAGGAAAATTATCGGCAAGAAAAAAATTGAGAAGATGGAGGAGAATGAGGAGGAGAATGATGAAGATGACGATGATGATGATAGGAAAGAGAAGGAGGGTGAGGATGAGGATGATGAAGATGGTGAGGATGGTGAGGATGAGGAGGAAGAGGGTGGTGAAAATGATGAAGTTGAGGGTGATGAGAATGAGGCTGAAGATGGTGAGAATGATGAAGATGACGAGGATGGTGAGGATGGTGAGGATGATGATGGTGAGGATGATGAGGAGGCAATGGTGAGGATGAGGATGGGGACGGTGAGGATGATGAAGAGGAGGATGGTGAGAACAATGAGGATGAGACTGGCGAGGATGGTGAGGATGAAGACGAGAATGGTGAGCATGAGAGTGGCGAGGATGATGAAGATGGGAATGGTGAGGATGATGATGTTGAGGATGAGGAAGATGAGAGGGATGAGGATGAGGATGAGGATGGTGAGAATGAAGATGATGAGGATGGTAGGGATGAAGATGATGAGGTTGAGAATGGAAAGGATGAGGATGAGGATGGTGAGAGTGATGATGAGGAAGATGGTGAAGATGAGGAGGATGAGAGTGAGGATGGTGAGGATGAGGATGATGATGATGGTAAGAGTAAGAATGAGAATGACAACGTTGAGGATGGTGAAGATGAAGATGGCAGGGCTGAGAATACCAAAGACGGTGATGATGAAGATGACGAAGCTGAGGATCGTAAGGATGAGGATGAGGATATTAAGGATGGTGAGGGGAGGGTGAGGGTGGTGAGGATGAGGATGGTGAGGCTGAAGATGGTGAGGATGAGGATCAGAAGGATGAGGATGAAGACGAGGATAGTGAGGATGGTGAGACTGAGGATGGTGAGGATGAGGATCATAAGGGTGAGGATGAAGATGGTGAGGATGAGAAGAATGGGGCTGAAGATACCGAGGATGGTGAGGAGGATGATGATGAGGTTGAGGAAGAGGATGGCGAGGATGAGGATGGTGGCCCTGAGGATCATAAGGACGAGGAAGAGGATGGTGAGGATGAGGATGGTGGCCCTGAGAATCATAAGGATGAGGCTGAAGATGAGGATGGTGAGGGTGGTGAGGACGAGGATGGTGGCCCTGAGGATCATAAGGACAAGGAAAAGGATGGTGAGGATGAGGATGGTGGCCCTGAGGATCATGAGGATGAGGATGAAGATGAGGATGAGGGTGGTGAGCATGGGGAGGATGAGGATGGTGGCCCTGAGGATCATGAGGATGAGGATGAAGATGAGGATGAGGGTGGTGAGCATGGGGAGGATGAGGATGGTGGCCCTGAGGATCATGAGGATGAGGATGAAGATGAGGATGAGGGTGGTGAGCATGGGGAGGATGAGGATGGTGGCCCTGAGGATCATGAGGATGAGGATGAAGATGAGGATGAGGGTGGTGAGCATGGGGAGGATGAGGATGGTGGCCCTGAGGATCATGAGGATGAGGATGAAGATGAGGATGAGGGTGGTGAGCATGGGGAGGATGAGGATGGTGGCCCTGAGGATCATGAGGATGAGGATGAAGATGAGGATGAGGGTGGTGAGCATGGGGAGGATGAGGATGGTGGCCCTGAGGATCATGAGGATGAGGATGAAGATGAGGATGAGGGTGGTGAGCATGGGGAGGATGAGGATGGTGGCCCTGAGGATCATGAGGATGAGGATGAAGATGAGGATGAGGGTGGTGAGCATGGGGAGGATCGGCCTCACGGAGTCTTCCTTCTGCTTCAGCACCCAACTGGTAGAAACGTAACTCTTCCAAGAAGACATCTAAGGGGACGTCAGGTGGTCGACGGAGTCTTCCACCCGATTGGTAGTAGTAGAGGACGGCGCCGAAGGCTCCGCGGTGACGATCGAAGAAGTACTCACGACGTTGGGGGTCAAAGTACCGTCGGCGTCGACGGGGGTCACCCAATAGGGTGTCGGGGAACCGGAGGAGGGTCCTCCCCAAGGTCTCAAACCTTCGTCCCGCCACGT